AGCAACCGACTGTCATTATCATTAATTATAACTGACAGCATTATTATTATCGGCAGCTCTGAAGGGTTCACCTACAGCAGACTAGCATCCCTTCTTGTTTTGTAAATCCGGTAACTTCAGAAACAGGAAGGATTCTCTGGCACTACCTCTGCGGATCTTCTATCTTAACAGGAACATTGCACATTGCACAAAAAGGCCACAGCCACAGAAGAAAAACTCTGTAACTGATAACAAAACTGTCCTTAAACTGCAGACAAATACCTAGAAGCTCAACATTGTGGCAGAAACCAAGAAGGAACAAGTCTCGTTCTGCGAGTATCAATGTGCGGGAAAACGAGGGTATAAGTTTGTTAGTTCTAAAGAAACGCTACAAACTCAGACGCGAGTGACACATACGGCCTTTGACTCCTGCTGGCGTGAAAAAGTCTAGTCTAGTTACAGGAGGCATCTTGTTTTCCTGCATCTGAATTACGAATGTATGCCATCTGAATTAACTGAAGCGATTAATTGCTTAATTAGTTAAAAATAAAACAAACTTTCTAATCGCGGTTCAAAAACACTTGCTTAATCTGGAGCTGGGTTAGCATCAGTAAAGTTTTTTGTGTGTGGTAAGATGACGGAGCGCAGCGACAGACACTTTGCTGCGCCAGAGCTTCTCTTTAAGGATTTTAAGATCTGCACTCAACTGTCTCCTGACCTGCTGTGTTATTTCCTACATCTGGCTTCTACAAAAATGGAGAATTAGACTACAGCATCCAGACTGGGCTACACCCCCAGGGAGATGTGCCGTGGTGTGCCAGCACGAGCTGGTAGGGCAGTACTGACCGGTGGTGGAAGCTGTACTTGCTGGCTCTGGAGTGGGTCATGCCTTTGCAGGGCAGAGAGGAGTAGCTAGTCTGTCCAGAGGCTGAGGACTCCCGCGGTCCTGCACACACAGAGATGACACACACACACATGCAGAGAAACAGCCACGCAGAACTATCAACACAGATGCAAGTTACCGAGAGGTTCAGCAGTATGCCCGCGTTTGTAAGGTCAAGATGCATCACTTAACATGAGCTTCTGCTTATCACCAGGAGTCTTCAGTCCAAAAGAGACCCTTCCTGGCTGCACTGTTTCAAGATGAGCAACTGCAAACACTGATCGTTCAGCACACACACCTGGCTGAGGACGCTATGTGATGGGGAAGGCTTTGGCTTTTTGGAAACCTTTCTACAGCAGAGGCAATCCGTGCAGATATGATGGATTCATTATTCATTATCCATTTAGGGATATGTTAGCTGCTGTCTCAATTGCTATCTGTACTACCACTCAAGAGCTGTACTTTACTGTTAATTGGAAAAACTTGCAAAATGAAGCACAGCCGGTCTGAAGGAATGAATATCCATGACAGGGAAAGGAATTAGCCAATCCTCTGTGCTAATTAAGAGGCTTATAAGAACTGCTAGGAGGAAAAGGGTTTCAGCCTGTGTCTAGGTTGCAGCCTGGACTTAGGGAGAGAGAGAGAAAGCTCCAGGAGTGAGTTCTCACTGTAAATGGAATGGAATGGAATTGGACTGGGCTGGGCTGAACTGGGTTACAGGCTTGAGTGACTCAATGAGTAAGGGATGTTTCAGAAAATACAGCTTGGACTGGACTACAGGGGTCACAGGTGCTAGAAGCAGGGAAGAAATAACACTGCTTATGATCATGTTATATATGTATCTTCTCTTTGAAAACGTAACAAAACAGAATATTTGACTATCAAATCAAGGTAGATCACATTCATTGTTCATTCACGATACTGAATCTGCTTTTCAGTACTATGCACCAACCAGAGGACAAAAAGTGAGATTCAGAAAACACAGAAACGTCAATCAGCAGAACCACGATACGAACAGGAGGCTCCAAACTGCAAGGTGACTTCCTCATTTGCTTCTCTGTTACACAGCCAAGACAAGTAGCAGTAAAAAGAAAGAACTCTTTGGAAAAGGGGGCAAACTGAGTCACCTGACCCCAACAGGGGAGAAAGTTAGAGCGAATAAGGCCATTGATGTTTCAGCAGGAGAAAAAGAATGCGCAGCAGGCTGTCCAACATTTTCACAGTCCCTAGAGCAGAAAGAGACAAATGAAGAGCCCAGGTAGGCTAGCTGAGGGCTCAACAACTCTTCCTCAGCTTCCTCAGCTTCCTCAGCTTAAACCCCTCACCCAAAGCAAATGTTCAACCGGACTCTTAAAGGAAACTAAGGTGCTCACAGCACCACCTAGAGAGCAGGCATGAAAAGAGGAAGGGTTCGGCTGTACCGGGTTGCGGGGTATTCGCCTCACGGAGGGGCAGCTTCAGGGGGTGCCCAGTGGCCTCGCACCAGCCTGCCGGGTGGATGTCTGGGTGGTCAGCATCGATCCACTCGTCGTACATGTGGTTCCAGCCATCGAAGTGAATCTGTGAGACACACGTGCAGCAGGGCTGAGCTTGCCCACACAAGGCTGTAATTGCTTGGCTTATCACTCTGAGCGGTGGGATTTAGACACCTCTGGTCCCTGTAAATGAACTCCGACCTGCCCCCTGACCTCCGACCTCTGACCTGCAACTTCAGCTCTCCAATCAGCTGAAACAGTTCTTGTGCAAGTGGCTCTGTTCCTTTCACACTACTGGTTAGCACCCAAAACCTAGGAAATAGCCAGCAGTCATATCACCCTGCAGCTCACAACTGGCCGACCCATTGATGGAAGACCTCCTGGGAAAAACTAAGGCTGCTGCTGGAAGAGGTGTTAGTGGGGCCAGCAGGGGGTGCTCACCCTGTAATCTATGTGGGTCCTAATACCCCAGTATAGTGACGGGGACACTACACTGTAAAAAGGTGCCATCATTCAGTGAGAAACCGAGGTCCTGACTCTCTGTGGTCATTAAAAATCCCAGGGCATTTCTCAAAAAGAGTAGGGGTTAACCCCAGTGACCTGGCCAAATTTCCCATTGGCCCTTACCAATCATGTCCTCCTAATAATCCCCATCTCTGAACTGGCTTCACTGAGAGCTGGTGTGTGGGGAGTGTACTAGTGTATTATTCAGGTGGGGCTGCACACGGGTGGTGGTGGAGGAGGGGAGTCCCTATTGCCTGTAAAGTGCTTTGAGTGGAGTGTCCAGAAAGGCGCTATATAAGTGTAAGCAATTATTATTATTAATCAGGCTGAGCCCGACCGGTCCTCCCGATCCCCTCTCAGACTGGCTCGGCCTGCGGGACTGACTCAGGAGCGAATGGAGGGGAACAGCTCACCTTTATCCTGTGCGGGTCGATGTCCTCCACAGTGGCCAGGCGGAGGATGGACGGGCTCCGCTTGTCCACCGCCTCCAGCTTCATTCCCACCTGGAAGCCATGGGGAGGGCGCTGGGAAAGACAAGGGGCAGCGGTGTTTCTCCGGGACAGAGTCAAGGCTGACTCACGTCAAGCTTCCCTCCAGTGGGGCACACTGACACAACCATTCTCAGCTACAAAACACTGTGGAACCAGTGGGGACGACCCCCTGCAGCTTCCTAGCTGCTCCCAGCTGGACGCAGTCTTCATGAGACAATGCAGAATGACTCCACCTTGTCCCACGCCCTGTCCTTTGTGTATTCCGGTCAACAGCGGACTTTACTCACCGGCTTAAACGTGTGAGCCGGGACAGCCGTTGAGCCAGTCTCCTCCAGGTATTTCTCCCAGGAGAAATTGTCTGGATCTGGGTAATCTGAGTGGAGAATAAATAAAAAAAAACGATATCCACCTGGCCTGCTGTGCCAGATGCTGCATGCTGCGGGCGATAGGACTGCCCTGGCTGTCACTCACCTTGTGGAGGGGTCAGAGGGAGGCCCCGCTCTCGGCACCAGCCAATGGGGTGGATATAAGGGCTGCTGGCATCACACCTGGGATTGGGAAGGAAAGGGCAGACTGGATAACAGGAATAATACAGCTAACCCACAGACCCTGACACACTAGACAGGTAGGGCTAACTCTTCCCTGAAGAGAACTCTTCCTTGTCTGAGGGTGACAGTGTGTGGCCAAAACTACCTAGACAAAGCATTGATCTGCTCTTCCCCAAACATTAAGCAGAGATGATGCCTTTGGTATATTTGCAACAGTCTTCATCAGAATATCGTTCTGCAACGAATACAGCTGCTGACATAAGCATTGGTTCGCTGTATCTGAAATGAATAATACATTCTTGAAGGGGAACTGCAGTCCCAGTTCCTCAGACTGGTTATTAAATCTCGGTAACCAAATAAATTAATTGCAGGCGCTGCAGCATTTTACAAATTCAAAGTTAAGCACAAAATCGCGAACTTTGTAAAAGGACTGTAAGTCTCCATGTTGTCGCAAACGCCCTGGCTCCGGGGGCGAGTTTGAGAGTTTTGAGAACTGTGACTTAAATCAGCCCTTCCTGCTCGCTAGTCACTGTAATTTCTAAAATAACGTGACGTACGAGCGAATAAGTACAGATTGTGCAGCAGACATTTCACTGCCGAAATGCTCCAGTGTGATCTGCATGCAGAGTTAAAAAGTAAGTAGTATTTGTCAGAAAAAACATCTCAAAGTCGAGAGCAATATTTCTTGTGGATTAAAAGAGATGTATTCACAATCCTGCTTGATTACAATGTAATAGGGCCACATCACATCATCGAACGTTTTGTTGCCCTGTTCTGAATCTCAGACAACGACAGCAATATGGTGCTGCACATACCTGGAAATTCAGTCTATTTTGCGATGCAAATTCATTTCATTGTAGTCTGAAATGCCCTTATCAATGCCAATTCTAATCCAGAAATATAAAACTAGCATTGCAGTTCCCCTTTAAAAACATCTACCGGCTGTCTGGATGAATGAGTTCTGCATAATCCTGCAAGAGACATCATTTATAAAATAAGTATAATTCAACAAAACAATGTTTCTGAATAAACAGTGGCTTATCTCATTTAACATGCAGTGCCAATAATGATATTTGTCATGAGATAAGTGTTCTCAGAAAACAACTTCCACAGCATTAATACCAGCTTTTTTTTACAAAATCAAACATTAAGACTGCCGCCTGGAAGTGAATGCATCCTTCTAAAGAAACTGCCCTACAGCATTATCACATGGCAGTGAAAAACACCTGGAAACATGCCCTAAGCTGTATTTCTATCCCTTCTGAGAACTGGGCTTCCATGTGTCCGTGCTCACCAGTAATCATAGGTGTCATCCCAGTTGTCAAAGTGAACCAGGAAGCGATTGTCTACCACGTCGGTCACCGTGGCAACGCAGATGAGGGAGGGGTTCATGCGGTCGACGGCCTCCAGCTTCATTCCGACCTCGAAGCCACAACAGACGTCTGTCTGAGGAAGAGGAGGGTGGCACAAAACAAGGACTCTCAACGCCCTTTTCCTCAGTCCTGCAAACGCACACTTACTGTATTAAAACCTCCGTATGCAGTTGGCCTACAACAACGCTCAAGCTTCCCACAAACCCTCTGTGTAAACACACCAGGATTCCGCCACCAGTGCTCAGACGATTCTCTCTCACTGCACAGACTCCTCACTAACTACGATTCCAGCTCTCTCACCCATTACCAGTCTGGTGCAACTACGACGCTTCTCATTTACTTTTTATCCTTTTCTCTCCAACATCATGAGGTCTCCAGTCAAGTAACGTGGAGAAAGAGAACCAGACTTACTCTCCCAGGACTAGCGAAGAGTTCCTTGGGGGCCACCTGTGCCTTGGCGAGCCTCAGGTAGCTGGACCAAGAGAATTCCTCCTCTTTGCACCCTGAGGAGAGAGAGAGGGGGGGAGAAGTGCCAGGTTTGGACAGTGGCGTTCAGTAACTTTCCTGAGCGCAGTTCTCACTCGTGAGAGACACGCAGCGCTCTGAGAGCAGAACTCTGCAGTGAAGGCAGAGGGCCTCTGAATCATCTGTGTTTGATGGAGGGGCTCTTGGCCCCATGGATAAGAGACGTCAAGTCTCTAGTCAGGTCACACGAGAAGAATGAAGGTAAATCCAGTACATGGAAACATCCCAGGCTGCAAAACAAGTTAAAAAATCTAAGAACTTTGTAGTTAATAAATCCCTGGACATTTACTGAGCCCTCTCTGCCTGCATTCAAATGAAAAAGTTGCATAGTGCTCAGAAACTCGCTGAATGCCTGCCTGTGTTGGGAATTCTGTCAAAGACAGTCACATCACAAACATGGCTGCTGACCACTGAGACCCGTGACCTTGAGAGCATAGTTATACAGCAGACTTGTGTTTTTACGTACAAATATTTTTACACAAGTTCGTGTAAATGCAGTCACCAATGAAACATATGTGAAAAATAAAAGAATGTGGGGAATTTCACAAATTGATTTGAAAGAAATGATTTGGGAACTAGTTACAGAGCATGTAGCTTCCTTTATGAGTGCTTTCTTTATGGTGCGGCTTCACCGGGGAAAGGCAAGTCAAGAAAAGTGCTCGATTTGGAGTTAAAAAAAGATTTTAAACAAGTTCATCGTCAGTAGCTGCACATTCTATTCATATTCTATGGGCAGAGGGGTGGACTTAAAAGTCAATATAGCTATGACTATAGCCATCATTTTTCTACAATTCTCCCAGGAGAATTCTCAATTATTTGAATTGATTTTCTTCTGCTTATCATTTGAGTCAAGATTGAGGGCACCTCACAAATTCTGAAAAGCTTTAAAAAAAGTTTTACTGAGACATCAAGGAGATGTCTGCCTGTGGCTGGAAGGTTGCCGGTTCAAATCCCCCGGCCGGCAGAGGAATCCTACTCCGTTGGGCCCCTGAGCAAGGCCCTTAACCTCAACTGCTCCAGGGGCGCTGTACAATGGTTGACCCTGCGCTCTGACCCCAAGCGTCTCCCCCCTTGTCTGTGTGTCTCATGGAGAGCAAGCTGGGGTATGCGAAAAGACAATTCCTAATGCAAGAAATTGTTTATGGCCAACAAAGTGATCTTATCTTATCTTATATTCATCAACAGTATGACATTATAGTCAGTGTTCCCTGTATTTTATTATTATTCAATTTTATCTGATCTATTTTGTATACTAAAGGAACCCGAGCCTTGTTATGAGCTAACAATGAAGTATTTAAGAATTGTTTTATTGCTTTGCATATTTCTAGCAGGCCAAGGTCTCTCGAACGGAGCTGTAATTCATGTATCCTGTTTTAGCAACCGATTTAGGGAAGGGAACAGGGAACTTGTTTTATTGCCACGGCAGACCTTAAGTTAAGTGCCTGACTCTCTGACCTAGTTTACACATTATAAGGCAGCATGCAGTGACTGACCAATCATAAGAATGTCCGTTTTTGGATGGAACTTTTGCTCGTCTTCAAGAATAAAAGCCAGTGGTTCTGTTTGAAAAAGCGAGTGAGAGACGAGGTTAACCTGTTATCTGTCCTCCTTTATTGCAATAAATAAATCACGATTTGATTCATCAGAACCATGCGTGTGTCACGATTGTAGTCCCTCCTCCTTAAGGGCGCTCCGGCTCTTTTCACTTCTGACCTAATTTTGTGCACCTGCCCCTTGTTCCAGCCTCCTTCCCGTCCCCCTTAAAAGCCAGACACTCAGTTCGGGGCTCTACATCTGATTCCCATATTGTGGGAGCCCAGGACCTGTAATCGCCTGGCTCCGTCATGTTTTTGAGTTTCCATTCCTGTTTCCGTTTCCCCCGCTGGTTCCGACCCAGTTCCTGTTTTAAACCTGTCTGTCTCGTATGGATCGCCTGGCTTTTGGACTTTTGCCCTGTCTTTTGGATTTTCCGTTCGTCTCATCCCTGGATTGTTTGCCCCGGACTCACCCCCCTGGACACCCGCGCACTTTGGACACGCCCCCCTCCCGTATACATTCGCGAATCCTGCATGACTTTTTCCTAGTGTTTCCTCACTCCCCCCCGGATTGTGTCGTCCGCATAGGGTCTGGAAAGAACTGTTCGATACAGTGTGGTTTTCTTTGTCGGGTCTACCAATACCATAGAGTACTGTATTTGCTGTATTACTGCATTCATAATACTTTAAACTACACACACGTACTCATACACTACCGGTGGATTTGACTTGTTTAAGTGAAGGGGAATAGGAGAGGCTCAGGGTGCTGTTCCGATTATATGCGATTTTGAGTATACGCGGTATGTTAGGAACCTAACAGTGTAAAACAGTGTAAAACTCGAGTCCGCTGTATTTCAGGTAACCCAGACAATGTTCCCCCAACCCCACCTCCTCCAAACCTTAACCCAGCCCGGCCACGGTTTGCCCTCTGACCTTTGGGGGTGTAGAGCTTGTGCCCAGTTCTCTCACACCAGCCGGCTGGGTGAATGTCCGGACAGTTGGCGTTCACCCAGAAATCATGGCACTCCGAATAGCCGTCAAAGTGCATGCGCATCCTGTATCCACACACCTGCAGAGGGACAAAACACGGTGTGCTTTAACTACCTGCCAACAAAACAGCAGCTCATTCCTCTTAAAATCAGGAGAACCTATCCCAGTCACGAGGCACCTGGATCTTCGGAACTATGAGTCGACATGAATATGAACCCCTTGATGCTTCAGGTCTGCTCCCTGTGGCTCCGTACGTATTTAAGAAGGTATGCAAGAATGCTGATAATTGGCAATCTGGAATCTTGCAAACCTTCTTAAATACATCAATATCAAACCTGCAGAGAGAAGCTGGCAGCCATTAAAGAATGAACACTTTCAACAACAAGGTGAAGGTTTTTGAGGCTCGGAGCAAAAGGACAGGTTCAGAGAGGCTCGGCGCAAATCAGGTCCCAGAGTGAGGCTCCTCACGGTGTGCTGGGAGATAAGTGTTGAAGAGGTGGGCCAGTGTCTAGGTTGCTAAGCAGCGGCTCTCGGAATGTTCCGGGCAGAAGCAGAGTTCAGAGAGGAGTCAGAGCGAACTTGGAGAGGGAACCTGTTGTTTAGGCAGTTTATTCTCCAGCCCCACCTCAAGTCACGTGAATTGCTATTATATGAATCTCTGATTGTCTGATTGTGAATATTGAAGGATTGGATTGGATGTTTTGTATAACAGAACTGTAACCAGACCATTGTTAACCTGTAGCCAACAAAGAATTGCTTT